ATTTCTATCACATTTTCCCCCTTGGTCACACTAATAGTCAGGTGTTCTGTCTCCTACTTCTTTTCCCTTCCCATTCATGAAAGCAATGCCAATTGCTTTCATTTTTGTTGGCAAATCTTCTGTAAATTGAAGAAATTTTTACAACAGTTGTTCCTGTCACCTGGACTTGAAATAGAAATTTAGTTGAAATATTTGTCAATTTCACCTAGTTAAAAGGAAAAAAAAATTACAAAACAGGCCATCATGCTTTTTGCTATTTCTCCACTGAATCTCTTGAAAGCAAGACAAAACAAAGAAACAGCCTGCATTGCAGGTTGTCATTGGTGAAACTTGAACATTGTTTGTCAGAATAAAAACAAAGGTCCACTGTTGAAAACAAATATCAAGCAAATTCTAATTCAGTAACTACCTTTAATTTTATGGTAACTTTAAGTCCTCAAAAAAGATTCCTGGTTACTAAATCCTCTAAGTATTTTAGGTAAAAAAAGGGATTAACAAATCCTTATCCTGAAAAACTATTATAGTATCTGTGGATAAGTATGTTTATGGTATGGTTGAACTACTTAATCTACAAACATATGTGATGTTCCCATTTCAGTTTTCATCACATATTGAATCACTGTTGTCAACTCAGTTCACATACATTTGCCAACAGAGCACAGACCTGGATGCTTTTTTTCACTTTCTTTCTCTTTGTTTCCTCCTGTTTGTTCCTTGTGTTTTACAGTTGCTATATTATCATCCTCCTCTTCCAAAGGGAAATCTATACCCTGAAAGAAAGAAATACAGAACAATTATTGTCATACCTGCCAAAAAGCTAGAAGAACTGTGAAATCCTAATACTGCCAATCCCCCTGGCGATTGGTAAATAGCCCCCACCCCTTTTTTTAGACAGACAACAATGATAGTAGTAGCAAATATTCAAAGATCAACATATAAAGGAAAGAGGATAGGAAAAGAAATAAAGGGTTTCCTCTGTCATGCATGGAAAACTATTTTTTTAAAAAAAAATATGGAAGGTTTACAAATGAAAATGAGAGTCATCTGGATGTTCCCATGAAACACCATGCATGAGGCAGAGCTATGGCAGAAAAAAAGCATCACTCTGTGTGCAAAAACCATAAAGAAAGTTTGTGTGTATGTTGAGTTCAATAACAACTTTTCCATACATTTATGTCATAACAGTTTGCTCATTGCTGAAGAAAAGGAGAAACTTTTTAGCAGTTGCCATCCCTTCTCCTTTTGTCTGAGCTCACAAAGAAGAAATTTTTTAAAACAAGATTACATTTGCAGGACTTAAAGCTCAGGAATTGCTGTATTCCCCCACAGAGCATTTAAAACTGTTCACTGTGGGGGGAAAAGGCTTTTCTAACAGAAAGAAAATACTTGTACTGCATTGGCATAGGGGAACTTTTTTTTTTTTAAAAAAAATCCTTCTGATGCTCTTAAATGCCCCTGATCTGCATGGAATTTACTTACATTCAGGAACCATAACATAAAAAAAATAACCCAGAGATTTTAACTTTACCATGTTGTACGTTGGAAGTAAGACATATGTACCCTTCCAGGTTCAACTCCCAGCAATGCCAGTTAGCACAGGCAATTATGAGAATTGCTGTAATTTAATAACCTCTGAAAAGGCTAAATATGGAACTATAACACATCTATATCTCTCTGCTTTGAGAGTTTAAGTGAAGGTGGATTGTACGTATCATCTTGATGACTCCCACCCTGTGCTAAAAGTATATGAAAAAGATTTCTGGCTCATTTGGGGTAGCATAGATTCAGTAAAAAGAGACATACCAGTTTGCCAATTCTATTACTAATTGCATTGTGCCACATGCTGGCAATGGAGTCCAAATCATGTTGGATCAAATACTCTGAGCCATCCCGTGTCTTCAGCTACAACAAAACAAGCATTTGTATGTAATATCTAAAAACTGTTCTCCACAAACATTGAAAATTGCTCTAATTTACCAAACTACACTTGCAAGTCTTCATAGGTTTTTAGCATTATTTTATGAGTGACTTAGGATAAAGCACATTGCATTTCCATAATAGTAATCCATATCAAGAATAACGAAACTGATTCTTTAACAGCAGGCTAGCTCTGATAAAAGATGGGGTGCTTTGGAGACCCCCCTCCCCATCGTAACTATAGGTTCAGGAGTTGGTTGCCTAATGTCCCTTAACATTTTTCCCCAAACAGTGAGTGTCAATAAGAGAAATGCTTTTTAATTTTGCCACATATAACACATATGGTCCAGGAATAGGGTAATTTTTTTCTTCTCTCTAAACTCTGGCATACTTGACAATGATGGCCATTATTTCTTACCTCCAAGACATTCTTTCTACTTGACCTGTCTTTGTGGGCCCAGGAAAGAGATGCTCCATGAAGATTCACTCTAAACTCTGGGCTACTTAACACAGAGGGATACTTCTAAATGGGCAAAGAAGAAAAGTAGAAGTAATACAAATATTTAGATTGAACCATTATTCACTGCCCTCCCATCTTCCCTTATCACATTAAATCTATCCAGTATACAAATTATTTTATTATGACTAACATCTTGCTTCCACCGACATCCAGATTTTTGGCCAAACTATGCTGTGTGAGTAAGATTTTAGTTATGCATACATATTTCTAACCAATTGGTGTTAATATAAATGAAAACAAAAAGTTTCTAATTTAAAGTAAGGTTTAACTGTTGGAGATGAAAGTTCACAGAGGCAACTATCTCTATCATTGTGTCCTCCAGAAATGTTAAAATAATACCTAATCACACAGCTAACATTACCAATGGCAAGATGGTTGGGAATAATAAGGAAAAATTGCATCCAAACTAATATTAATTTGATAAGAGAGAAGGTATGGGATAGTTACTTTTTTGGCATAGTTTATGAAAAACATTTATCCTATTGTTCCAACAAAATGCTTAAGGAAGCAAGGAATAGATTTAAAGATAAAAAGGGTCATCATTTAAAAGATCAAATAAATTTTAGCAAATAAGGAATTGGGCATACCATAGTAACAACTTGCAGGGTTTCCAAAAAAAGAGAGAAAAAACAATCAAATGTGTAAAATGAGAAAAAGTTTCTTCTGAAATTCCATATAAGGATGACTCATATGAAATTTATTATCATCTCATTGTTTTATCTGATAAAGAGGCAAGAAAGAGAACTTCAAAGCAATTTGGTATTTTTTAAAATTATTTTATATCCAATGTAATTGTCCAAATCTTCCTCATACTAGTTTTGCTTTACTCTTAACTGTTGTGCCATATTATTAACATAATTACATATGTTCTTTTCTGAGTGGACATACATATTTAAAAAACTAATTTGTAAAAATTATATGAGACAAATGGAAATTTTATTCACACGCAAAGACAAACATATATTTCAAAGTCTGGAAATGCATTTTTGCTAACCAAATGCAACTGTGATATGAGAAGAAAAAACTCCTGAAGATACCTTAAGAATCGGGCAGCTTCATATAAAAGAAGACTGTTTTTAAATTAACTGTATTTGAACATTTGAATTTGTTCCCCAATTCTCTATGCTACTATAATATCAGCTGGTTATTTCAGAGCAAGAAGCTAAAGCTGAAAACTTACTGCACTGCTGGAAGATGAATGCTTGGAATCCTTGAAAAATATTAAGGCATCACCTTCCAAGACCGTCCATACACAGGTCCAGTTCTTCCTAAAAGAAGATAAAGAAAGGACACACCATTGAAAGAATAATATTAACTGGGTAGGCATAAACACTGAAAAGTAAGAGTTTTTGAGGAAAAATAGTACAACTATACAAACATAGACATCAATATTCCCTTCCTCTCTCTCATCATTTTTCAGCACACATGACTCTTAATAATCAACACACAAAAGGAGTATGTCTCTATGATCAACTCAATCATGAAAAATAGGCTCAAAATATGCAAGACAGACAGACAATATATAGCTGAAGAATGAGAGGGAAACAAAATTAGCAGGCCAATAATTTAGTTCCAAATTGCTCACAAATAAATAAAAAAGGAGTGGGTGGAAAAGCTGAGAAGTGGGTAACTCTTCTGCAATGAGTGCCTTTATTCAGGGGAATGTACACCCATTTAGTTCTTGAAAACATGCCAAACAAGGCAACTGGCAATTGGCAAACACCTTCCCTTTCAACATGGTTTAAAGCAGCTTTTAATTTTACTAATTATTTGCTTTATTTAAATTCAAATAAATGCATACTTTTACTTAATTAGTAATGATTTGTTAGTGAATTTATTAGTGATGCATTCTCTCCCCAAAAATATGCCTACGTTTTGGAATGATGCTCTAACTTGCCTGCATTTTTCAAATAGTTTTACAGAACTATGATGCCCACCACACACTTTTGGTTAGAACCTTGCCTTTCATTTCAATGGTAATGCTAATATGTTTAAGGAAGATTTCTTTGAATGGAATGGGGGGGGGGGAGTCAATGGCTACCACTACTTTCCTTGTAAGTAGTGACTCAGGAATATGGTTTTATTTCCAGGTCTTCCTCATACTAGTGGCTAAAACGTATGCCACTCTAGAGGCAAGGAATTAAAATGCCTAAGAATTATCTGTTATCTAGGCTGCTATTGATCAGAGGCTTTGAATGACTGAACAAGGAGGAAGCAGGACCTTAGAAGGCAACATCAGCTGATCTATTCCACAACTGCAAGTGCTTATTGTTCTAGTTTTTTTAAAAAAAAAACTATATTTTTAATAGAGTAATTCCAATTCCAAGCAAGAAAAAAAGTACTATTCCAAACTTCCTTCTTGCGAATCCCTACATCAGAAAAGTCTGAAATTAAGTTCACAAACATACACAACAGCTCCTCTTACCTCAGGCGTTTCCCTTTATCAGCAGTTCTTGTCCGATACAACATCCCAGCTTTCTCAAGAGATTTCAGCTGGGAAGGTGGAGGAAAAGAAATGACAATTAAATCTTGTCCTAGTTGTTGGGGAAAATCATCAGAGCAAATTAATTATCAGAGCAAAGGATGACTGCTATTAGATAGGGACAGTTGTAGCTGAATAGCGACAACCTTATATACCATTGAAGATTGCTTCTAAACAAATCCAAAGTCACTGGGGGGGGGGATAAGCTCTCACTTCCCAAGCATGCTTATCTTCATTTGGCTTAGGCCACTGTAAATTTAAGAAATAAATCTAGGAATTAAGGCAATACAATACCTCAAGTATTGTCTAAATTAATCCAGAGGGTAGGAAAGATACTAAAAATTGGGAGCCAAATTGGTAGACATTTTATATTTGCATTTTCAAACTGATTAAAATAGGAGCTCTTTTCACCTTCCTTAGAGAGAAAATAATTTTAGAGTTTCTTCTACTGCAGTGAGGCTTGAATGCTTGCTTATAATTTAAGCAAATAAGATCAGGAAATGGGCAGTGTGGAAACTGTAACTGCAGGAACTAAGTGGCTGTTTGAAAGTGGCAGCTTTTTGGCCATCCTACTCCCATCATTCCTTCCATCTTTCCAAAAGGTTCTCCTTGTTCAAAGTATGCAAAGGATCAGGAGAACCTTTGGCTTCTCCGTTTAATTTATTTATCAAAACACCACTTTAGATCTGCCATTAGCAAGCAGACACCCTTTCTTCCATACCTGCTCATCTTTTGACCCAGGGTAAACTGATTGGCTGGGGGGCCAACTTGCAAAAGGACTGCTGCCACGACTAGATCCACTACTGGTGCTCTGGCGATTGCCAGAAGTGGTCACCTAAGTATAATAATTTTAGCAGCAGTAAACAACATACAGGCACTCATACCACAGTTCTTCAGGATTATGATCTACTGTTTTATTACACTCAAGTTTGTATTTACATCTATCAATAAGTAACCCATTTTACCTCCTCTTACTTTCAGCAGATGAATTTGCAATACAATAGCAGAGTTGGAAGGGACCTTGGAGGTCTTCTAGTCCAACCCCCGTCCTAGGCAGGAATTTGTATGCCAACTGATTAAATTTTAGAATCTGTTTTACAGATTGGCATTTTTGCTGTGTTCATCTCATTTAGTGACTGTGATCATACCGTAGATGCAAATGGCGGTTTGCTTAACCATGGGGTTCGGAATACATTATGATGGCTAGGTATACATTATAGAGTAAATCCTTTGTTCTACCTGACTACATTATTGTTTAAACAGCTCCGATTCTACCATTAGAATGTCTCCACCTCATTGTAAAAGTAATCTTTTACTCACAGAATCATAGGATTGGAACGACCTTGGAGGTCTTCTAGTCCAACCACTAGCCCAAGGCAAGTATCCTCAGATCTGCCCAACTGGCTTCCCAACTTTTGTTTGAAAACCTCTAGTGATGGAACATCCACAGTACCAAGAAGTAGGCCAGCCCATTGCTTAATAGTTCTCATGGTCTGAAAATTCCTCCTTGGATTTCCCTCTGTCTTTCCAAGATATTCTTACCATATCTGGGACATCAAACGATGTTTCTGGGGTGCCAGGGGAAGCACAACCCTGGTCTGCTGAAGGAATACCAGCATAGTCAAATTGCTTGTAGGATCCATCTGGAGAATAACCTTCCTCTGGAGAAAGTTCACGAGGAGAAAGTTTTGGATAGTCAGTTTCTGGAGTTGGTGGCTGAAAAAATATATATTAGAAAAGAGATCAATAAACAAAAACCTTTTCTTCCTTCTTAAACAGTTGAGAGCTTTCTTTTCCCGAGGCTTGAGAATTATGAAACAGCCACCCCAAAATCCAGTTGACCCCGGTCCTGCTGGACTTTAATAAGAAGCAGAATATCTGCATATACTCCAAGTATTAGCCCAGTTATAATTATGAGTTATGGGCCTAATCCCCACCACAACATATTTTGTTTTACTTTATTATTTTATCATTTTTCTTTGTATTTAATGTTTTTAATAGACCTCCTCATCCACTTACTCTCCGATTCGGAGATCTCCTAGTAAATGAAGGCCGCATCTCTGGAGGATTGAAAATTTCTTGGGGTGCCTCCCACGAAGTCTCACCGGTTGCTGCGTTATAGAAAAATATTTGCCCACTATTCTCATCTACATATTGATTCCACTCAGCAGATGAGTCAGGGCTGGGACAGTGAGAGTGGGAAAGACTCACACTATTCAAGGAAGCCCCAAAGGGAGACTCCCAAGTTGTCTGACCAGTCGCAGAATTGTAATAGAAGAAATGACCACTTTCAGTGTCGGTGTGAATTTCCCAGTTGTTTAAAGTATTGCTGAGACACAACTGGAATGGGGAATCGTTGACAGTGGTAGTACTGTGCTCCAACTGAAGTTCTTGTATGTTCACATATACTGGATCTGTGGCCACATCTTCAAGCAACTATGAAAACAATAAAGAAAAGTAATCCAACCACCTCATTGTATGAAACCTATCCCTTAACCAGCTCTCTGAATGGCTTAAACTTCTAGAAATTCCTGCCTAGTTACTAAGGATCTAATATTATGAAATCACACTTAAAAATGTAATAATTAAAAATAGTCTAATAAAGTCCATTAAAAAAAGCCAATATAACAAAGACCAAAAGAAATCAGATAATATACAAGTTAAGGAAAGATATAAAAATGTAATTATTCCATACTCAGTATTTCTGCTCCAAAAGACATTTGTACAAATTAATCTTCAAGATTTATTAAATGGGGAAAATAATATTGGCAAATATCATGTCAATAATTATTTTGAGATGTAATGCTCCTTGTTTACAATGGCCTGACTTTTTATATTAACAAACAATTCATTAAACACATCCACTCCAATGTTTTTGCTGTTTCACTCAAAAGTAAATCAAACCAGCAATGTACTGCCTCTCAAATCTGTCACTGTTTCTTTTTATGAATCATTACATTTTTATTAGTACCCTTTTAGCATTTCAAAAATAGAGTAATATCTACAGATTACCTCTTCCAGCTTCCCTTATTTTCACCATGACAATTGTCCTTAGCTTGGATGATCTTTAAATTGACAGTTAACATTTTCTGTAACATTGGAGTATTTTCCATCCAACCCCTCCGTTTTCACCTTTGTACTTGTGTTTTTTAACAGTACCTAGGTGTGCGGAACGAAGCATTGAACAGCCATATGGTTTTGCCAAAGATGCAATGTTTTCTCACCTACTGTCTTCAACTCTATTAAACAGTCAAACTGATTGATAAATTCCAGTAAATACTAGTTATACATTAAGCATATTGTAGATCTATAGCAAAGTTTGAAATCCAAAATAAAAGTTGGACAAAAAATATTTTATCTGGATTCTGCTTTTTAACTCTGATCTCCAGTTCTCTCTTTCAAATGATCTTAACTCAATTTTGATGCTAAGATTGGAATTTCTATTGTTCTATCTTGCATATGTATCTACTAAGTGTATATTTCTACATTAACTGCAGTGTTATGGCAATCTTGCCAAATCCAGTTCTTAGATATGCTGAACTTCTGTTCCCATAGTTGACAACCCATTATGTAAAAGAGATACAGAAGAGAAAATAGAAATTTAGATTATTTTCCTGGTCAGAAATGAGAAAGCATTTAACTGGCTACATGAAGTCTTTTTTCTCCCAATCTTTTCCTTTCAATATTTTTCCACCATTTATATTATGACAAAATAAATAAATAAACCAAACTGCCCAGATGAGGTTTAACTGAAATCACAGTTTACCTTTTGGTCTGGATTAGAATGAAGATCAAACGAACAAAAATGGAAAGATTCAAGCCCCTGGAATTTAATTTAGTGAGAATTAATATGATGATTACCAACTTCTAATGTGACTAAAATCATTGAGGGCTATGGTGTAGATCAGCCCCTGCTTAGGATCTTGAACAGTCTTCCTCAACCAAATGTATTCTTGATTTGGTGAACTCTTCTCCTAGTCATCTTTACTCAGTATGGCAATTTGTACTACTGGCAGAGAATGAAGAAAATTGTAATCTAGCAATTTAGAGAATACCGAGTAGAACGAATCTATAGAACAAAAGATACTGAGTACAGATTTTTTTTTTAAAGTGGTGAATCAAGTTTAACAAAGATAGCCACAAAGTCATGGATATAAGAGAATTAAGGCTTAGAGATTTTTGATATGGACATTGGACAGAGAAATAATACAATTCTCCTATATATTGGTATACAGAGAGGACACAAATTGCTTTCAACAGCAATAAGCAAGCCAACAAACTCTGAACTATATTTGAATGGCGAAGTTGCTGGTTTATTCTTGGGCTTGTAAGTACTGAGGATAGGAGATAAAAATAGATCCAAGTTGTTCAACAATTCAGTGCTACCAAGATAGGGTTGCCTGCCAAAGGAAAACCTATCACAATGAAGCAGAATGCTCAATTCCATGGCTCATCAGGTCTTCATAAGTTACAATGTAGGGAACATAGAAACATTTCCCCAGATATAGTACCTACTACTTCAATGAATATCTGTCAGAGAGGATCTTATTCCAGACGTGGACAGAAGACGATATATCACAAATTATGTGACTGTTGCATTTGTTTGATATGTGTAGACATTTACATTTATCCCTGACTATGTACTGCATGAAAAGCCAGTTTAGTGCAGGGGTTAAGACATCAGGCAAGAAACTGAGAGGCCATGAGTCTGAGGCACAAAGCTAACTGGATGACCTTGGGCCACTTTCGCTCAGCTCTAGAAAGGACATAACATCAAACTAGTTCTGAAATCTTGTCAAGAAAACTGCACTCAATTCATTCAAAAATAGGCTGAATTTGCACAATATGGTAGACTAGAATGACATAGTTTGTAGTGCAACTTGCTGTGGGAGGTCAATCATCATCTTAGCATGAAATATTCAGTAACATCTTTCCCCCAAATGTTATTTGCTATATGCTGCCTGCTGCTTTTTTCTCCAATTTCAGAGGATAGTTTTTCTTCCTGGTCTGAAAGAGCAAGTTAGGGCAGAAAAAGAGTATGTTCAAAGAATTTTGGATATTTGGCAACCCAACTGTTGATAATAAAATAAATAAAATAATAAAAGGGGTTATGTCTTTTCAGCCACAGAGTGGTTAAGGCAATATTTAGAACCTCTCCTGCTTAAACCCAGTCTAGATCAGCTGTAATCTGCTGAGGAGTACGTGTCTTATAAGTATTTTGCAAATCTTTAAAGACCTGATCATGTGGTAAAGGGAGGAATTCTTACATTCTAATTTCATTATTTTCTCTCTTTTTCTTTCTGTATATGCTCACAGCCAGTATTTCTCTCCCTTAGAATTACCATTAAAAGCTGGGTTCTGGGGAAAACACATTTACAGACAGAAAGGCATGAAGACTCCACATTTTACATAGGAGCGACAGACTTGAGATTGTTATGTATAACTGTTCAACAGTGTCCCCTTGAGTTCATTTTTCTTCATTTGCATAGAATGACAGTCCAAAATAACTAATCTGCTTCTTCTCTTACTTCCTGTAAAGATAACCAGCCTCTTAAACTATACCTTCTCCTTTACCTTTTGCATGCCAATTTTCTCCTTTTTGCCAATATTCTTTAAGAACAGAATGCAGTGACCAAGTAAGGGAGCACATAAACTGCCACCTTCTACATGTTTTAAACTAATAATCTTTGATCTTTGGTCACTCTAACTAGTAATCATAGAGATTTAGTTCAAAACATCTGAAGGACATCACGATTGCCTATCCTGTTCCAGCAAATTCTGTTTTGGTTTATTGGTTTCAAGTAGGTTCTGGCAATAAGAACAAATCATTGCCTTTCTAAAATGTGCATTTTAGAATGTACTGAGTTAAGAATAGTCATTCCTATCTGAACACCTTCTGAATTTAGCAAAGACAAGAAACTGGGAAATTATAACCCCAAACATCTAGGGATGTTAGCCCTTCGAGATACTCCAGAAAAGGATACCAAAACTATGAGCACTAAAGCTATTGTAAGGTATGGTAACAGACACTTGCAAACCTGAAATCACCCCCCACCCTCCGCCTTTTCTTTCCAGAGAACCCTGGGGTTGGAATCTCCTTTGAGATGCTTATTCCAACTCTATTCCTCTATATTTCAGGTAATTATCTAGGTTGTGTCTCTTCCTCCTGTCTCCCAAGGCTATTCTCACATTTTAACACAGTGCATAATTAATATAAGAACTTTATTGTTACCAAGATGTAGTGATAGTCATTTAGTAGATAGACAAAAATACCGCTTTAACATTTTCACAATGAAAATAGGGAACCAAATATTACAAGACAGCATGTAAATTCATCAACATCGTAATTATTATGTGGCATATTTAGTTGTAGTTAAGATATCCCCATTTTTTATAGAGTACTAGTTTGGTTACAACATATCTCACAAGCAGAAATACAATGTGTAGACAATAAAGATTTAGTGATAGAAAGAAATTGAATAAATGCATTACTACAGGGTAGAAGAACTTTCTTAGAGTTAAACAGAGACCCACTCTTGCAAGTTTTTGCTACACTCTTGCATTTTGAAAGCAGCACGATATTTCTTCACTAAGATTTGGCCTGAATTTATACACCCATTTCTGGTCCCTCCCTCTCAATAGGTTCTGGACAGTCTTCAAGCAAAGCTTAACAGTCTTTTGACTTAAAGGGCAATCTTCTACCCTTCCTATTGCCATACCTCAGATGAGTCTGATGTCCGGGATGATTTATGCCAGGAAAGTGAGCTAGGAATCCAGTCACCCATTGCTAATACAACCCAAGAAGATCAGTCTAAACCTTAGAAGCAGTGCCTTAACGGAAGGAAAATGGCAGAGTGGAAAAAAATGCTTTCTCAACCACAGGCCAATCAAGAGACAGAAAGCAACATAACATAAAGTGCAAAACAAGAACTCAGCCCTTTGCCTTTCACATGCTTCCTGTTGGGGTTTGTGGGATAAAATGGTTACTGTGGTAATGAGTTTATATGTAATGTTCTTTTCTAGCATTTTGTGGCAGCTCACTAAAATCCCTTTTTCTTTCTCTACACTATTAGGAATAAAATAAAAGCTTACCTATGTGTCAGAACACCCCAAAACTCAACTTTTTTAAAAAAATGATGGAGCCCTTTGCCTAAATTTTAACTGAATGAAGGTAGGTTACAATTATTTAGTGAATCAGACTATGCAAGCTATATTAGTCTTTGAGATTATTTCTTATTTCCAAAAACTAGAAAGGGAAATTATTTTGAAAAGAGGGGCAAGCTAGAGGACTAAGAGACAATTATAGATAGTATAGGTCTTAAAACCCAAATACTGATAGAAATCCAGAGATGGCTTCTCGGGCTTTAAGAGATGATGGGAAGAGAAATGTTGGCTAAATGTATTTTTGCGTTGTGATTATACAAGACCAGTTCTTCCAACAGGCAAACTGGGCTCATGCTTTAAGACATAGATACTATTAAAAAAACTGTTTAAAAACTCCTTTTTTTTAAAAAAAAAGGAGAAAACTGTGAGATGATGATGATGATCAAATGTCAAATGTGACTTTACTATTTTACTGTTAGATTTCTCCTAAGATTGGCATTGAAGGAATGGAGACAGAAAGAAGAAGTGCAACAGAGATGCCTAAATTAAGACATTTTTGTTTTTTTAAAGAATTGGTTAAATATCAGGTCTTCCCCCCCAAAATATGTTATTGTTGACCTGGTATGGCTGTAGAAACTGCAGCAATATTAAAAACTATGGGTGTAGTTTACAAGGCAAAATGCGTAAGAAATGAAATCATGAAACAAGGGCATCTTCCTAGAAGTTCAATTCAGGTTGGATAAGGCAGTTACATGAAAAAGTATGTACATCCCACTATTTTAAAAACTTTTTCAATATATCTTAACATAGATATTTGATCTTCATTTCAACAATACTGATTAAGTGGGATCTTGAGATAACCTATCATGCAACATTTACATGTTGTGATAATTGTATAATTTAGATAAACATAAAAGCAAAATTTGCAGATGGAAAAGATATGTTATGGTTATCACTACAGTTGTCTCAAATACCTAAAATTAGACTCAGATGTACAAGATCAGGTGCCAATAATTAGAACAGAAAGGATCTGGGAGAAACTTGTCATTTAAATCCCAGATATTTAGTTGGATTGCTCTTTGCTGTTGTATTGGATGTTATCATCATGTTTAGATTGAAAATGCTGTTTGGGGTCTTCAGAAAGTAGGTTGTAGATGCCTATAAACCTGGGTAGGAATGTTTAAAAAATTACCAAACAACTAGACACCAATCATTCCACAAGTGGAGATGATTTCCAACAACTGCCAACCAACTTAGGACAAGCCATCCCGACAAGTTCAGCTTAAGAGTAGGGTGAAAAATGCTGAAAGAAGTCTCTAAGGTCCCAAAAATTTCATTACATACACAGCTAAATCTCAACACTATTGCTGTGGATGATTGTACCAATAAAGAGAGTTGCACAAATTAAATCCACCTCAGAGATATGCCAGGAGGAAACCTTTGTCGTCCAGAAAGAAGATCAGAATAAGTCTAAAGTTTGCTCGTGAAAATCTAGACAAAGACTTCTGGAACAATATAATCTAGATAAATAAGGCAAAGATAATTGTTTGTTCATAGTACCAGAAGACACTTTTTTTGGGGGGGGGAACCTAAAGACTACATTTCTTCATTTAAAATGCTGATGGTGTTGGCCTAAAAACCAAGAGACTGAGAATGATTAGGCCTCCTTTAGGCATGAAAGCTGTCTGGGTGACTGGGCCAGTCACAGGACTGTCGTGGGGAAAAATAAGAGGCAAGAGCATTGGGCATGAGTTTTATATATAGCCAAAGCCTGAAAAGAGGCCTTGACTTGGCTTTTTCAAACCCTCCATTTCTTGCTTTTCAGCCATTTTTGATGGATTTACTATAATGCTTAGCAACATTGTCACATTGCAAGGTCCATGTTCAATTGAGTTTCAACCTTCTGACCTGATATGAGGATCATGCATTATCCTCAAGCCCCCTCGGGTACTTTGAAGAATTCACACTACTTCCTATGATTGGGACTTGCCCTGATGCAGCAAAGTAACCCCAAACCATAACATTCCCACCACCTTACTTTATAGTTTGCATTGGGTTCTTCTGGTGGAATTATGGTTATTTTATTCTGCTTTTAATATCAATTTCACCAGAAGAATCTGATGCAAACTGTAAAGCAAGATGGTGGGAATGTTATGGTTTGGGGTTATTTTGCTACATCAGGGCAAGTCCCAATCATAGGAAGTAGTGTGAATTCTTCAAAGTACCCGAGGGGGCTTGAGGATAATGCATGATCCTCATATCAGGTCAGAAGGTTGAAACTCAATTGAACATGGACCTTGCAATGTGACAATGTTGCTAAGCATTATAGTAAATCCATCAAAAATGGCTGAAAAGCAAGAAATGGAGGGTTTGAAAAAGCCAAGTCAAGGCCTCTTTTCAGGCTTTGGCTATATATAAAACTCATGCCCAATGCTCTTGCCTCTTATTTTTCCCCACGACAGTCCTGTGACTGGCCCAGTCACCCAGACAGCTTTCATGCCTAAAGGAGGCCTAATCATTCTCAGTCTCTTGGTTTTTAGGCCAACACCATCAGCATTTTAAATGAAGAAATGTAGTCTTTAGGTTCCCCCCCCCAAAAAAAGTGTCTTCTGGTACTATGAACAAACAATTATCTTTGCCTTATTTATCTAGATTATATTGTTCCAGAAGTCTTTGTCTAGATTTTCACGAGCAAACTTTAGACTTATTCTGATCTTCTTTCTGGACGACAAAGGTTTCCTCCTGGCATATCTCTGAGGTGGATTTAATTTGTGCAACTCTCTTTATTGGTACAATCATCCACAGCAATAGTGTTGAGATTTAGCTGTGTATGTAATGAAATTTTTGGGACCTTAGAGACTTCTTTCAGCATTTTTCACCCTACTCTTAAGCTGAACTTGTCGGGATGGCTTGTCCTAAGTTGGTTGGCAGTTGTTGGAAATCATCTCCACTTGTGGAATGATTGGTGTCTAGTTGTTTGGTAATTTTTTAAACATTCCTACCCAGGTTTATAGGCATCTACAACCTACTTTCTGAAGACCCCAAACAGCATTTTCAATCTAAACATGATGATAACATCCAATACAACAGCAAAGAGCAATCCAACTAAATATCTGGGATTTAAATGACAAGTTTCTCCCAGATCCTTTCTGTTCTAATTATTGGCACCTGATCTTGTACATCTGAGTCTAATTTTAGGTATTTGAGACAACTGTAGTGATAACCATAACATATCTTTTCCATCTGCAAATTTTGCTTTTATGTTTATCTAAATTATACAATTATCACAACATGTAAATGTTGCATGATAGGTTATCTCAAGATCCCACTTAATCAGTATTGTTGAAATGAAGATCAAATATCTATGTTAAGATATATTGAAAAAGTTTTTAAAATAGTGGGATGTACATACTTTTTCATGTAACTGCCTTATCCAACCTGAATTGAACTTCTAGGAAGATGCCCTTGTTTCATGATTTCATTTCTTACGCATTTTGCCTTGTAAACTACACCCATAGTTTTTAATATTGCTGCAGTTTCTACAGCCATACCAGGTCAACAATAACATATTTTGGGGGGGAAGACCTGATATTTAACCAATTCTTTAAAAAAACAAAAATGTCTTAATTTAGGCATCTCTGTTGCACTTCTTCTTTCTGTCTCCATTCCTTCAATGCCAATCTTAGGAGAAATCTAACAGTAAAATAGTAAAGTCACATTTGACATTTGATCATCATCATCATCTCACAGTTTTCTCCTTTTTTTTTAAAAAAAAGGAGTTTTTAAACAGTTTTTTTAATAGTATCTATGTCTTAAAGCATGAGCCCAGTTTGCCTGTTGGAAGAACTGGTCTTGTATAATCACAACGCAAAAATACATTTAGCCAACATTTCTCTTCCCATCATCTCTTAAAGCCCGAGAAGCCATCTCTGGATTTCTATCAGTATTTGGGTTTTAAGACCTATACTATCTATAATTGTCTCTTAGTCCTCTAGCTTGCCCCTCTTTTCAAAATAATTTCCCTTTCTAGTTTTTGGAAATAAGAAATAATCTCAAAGACTAATATAGCTTGCATAGTCTGATTCACTAAATAATTGTAACCTACCTTCATTCAGTTAAAATTTAGGCAAAGGGCTCCATCATTTTTTTAAAAAAGTTGAGTTTTGGGGTGTTCTGACACATAGGTAAGCTTTTATTTTATTCCTAATAGTGTAGAGAAAGAAAAAGGGATTTTAGTGAGCTGCCACAAAATGCTAGAAAAGAACATTACATATAAACTCATTACCACAGTAACCATTTTATCCCACAAACCCCAACAGGAAGCATGTGAAAGGCAAAGGGCTGAGTTCTTGTTTTGCACTTTATGTTATGTTGCTTTCTGTCTCTTGATTGGCCTGTGGTTGAGAAAGCATTTTTTTCCACTCTGCCATTTTCCTTCCGTTAAGGCACTGCTTCTAAGGTTTAGACTGATCTTCTTGGGTTGTATTAGCAATGGGTGACTGGATTCCTAGCTCACTTTCCTGGCATAAATCATCCCGGACATCAGACTCATCTGAGGTATGGCAATAGGAAGGGTAGAAGATTGCCCTTTAAGTCAAAAGACTGTTAAGCTTTGCTTGAAGACTGTCCAGAACCTATTGAGAGGGAGGGACCAGAAATGGGTGTATAAATTCAGGCCAAA